GTGGCTCTGGCTTCTGATGGGTCAATAAAGCCTGTTCTGTTGTACCGGTCTTTTACCTATTAGGCCTCGGGTATTCTACATGACGTCTGAATAGGGCGCAGACATTTTGGACCACGCTGGCTTCAGCCAATCCTATGTCTCTCTGCGTTCCAATAGTATGCGAGGAAGATATGCAGCCAACCAGGGAAGGACTCGGATGGCAGGCGCCCGACGTGTGGCTCTGGCTTGTGATTGGTCAATAAAGCCTGTTCTGTTGTACCAGTCTTCTTCATACATGGACTGGGGTATTTAACATTGGTATCAGCGGTGGGATGCTTTCGAATAACGCGAATTGAGCCCCAGCACTTTTTCGTCTACGGTCAACAGAGGCAAAACCCTTAGATGCCAGCTGAAGTTGTCATGGTGGTCATCCGATGTCCAATAAACTGGATCCATAGACATAGCCCGGGATTAGGACTACTGCATCTGAAGAGGCATTGGCAACTCAGCGGCGACGACATGGACAGTAGAAGCCACCTGGACTGCAACTGCGAAGGGACCTACGATAAATGAAGATTCCTTCCTGCAAGTCTGCAAGAGCAAAGTAGCTCGTCAACTATTCGCATGGGCCGCTCTCCTGCCAGATGTGGGGTGCGGGGAGTGTCGATCTGGATATTTTAAAAATTATCAACGGTGCGTTGAACCAAGCCAGATGCTGGGGACAGCTTTTCTCCTGAGGACGAGGCAGTGTAGCGACGTATAAGGTCGCAGACATATTGGACCACCCTGGCCTCAGCTAATCCTCTGTCTCCCTGTGTTCCAATAGCTTGCGAGGACGAATTACAGCCAACCAGAGAAAGGCACGAATGAGGAGCAGTATATAATGGACACGGATGGACGGCGCCTAAAGGGTGATTGTGGCTTGTGATTGGTCAATATAGCCTGTTCTATTGTACGAGTCTTCTTCATACTAGGGCTCGGGTATTCTACAGTAGCGACGCGTAAAAGAGCAGACATATTGGATCAGCCTAGCCCAGACAATCCTCTGTCTCTGTGTTTTTGAATTACCTGCGATGATTAACTGCAGATAACAAGAGACAGGGCGGATGAATATCAAAATAATAATGAGTGGTGCTTCCTTGTGGTGGGCTCGGGAGTGTGGAATCTCATGTGCGGCGGTCGACAAGGCTGTTGTCCTAGTCTTCTCCACAGTAGAATTCGAGTGTTCTACACCTTTGTAAGTGCGTAATGGAGCACATGAGCACAGATATGTTGGCTCACTCTAAGGTCAACCAATCCTTTGCCTTTAGGCTTCTAATGGCTTACTAGACGTATATTAAACACTGTAAAATGAGCCACATAGTCAGTTTATGCACATGGAAGGATGCATATGATGGAAAGTTTTGGTATGGGGTATATCAAAAAATGCTTTATCTGCTGGGACCGTCTTTTTCATACTAGGGCTCAGGTAATCAACAGCGTAAATCGAACGGTGCAAATTTCTAAATATTGGACAAAGGTGACGGAGATGGACAGAACAAATAATGGCGGTCCATACGATGTTAAAATACACGGGATTCGAAGGGATTTCGCAAAAGCAGGTCCACTAAATCTAAAGAGATACTAGTAAGTAAACGAAGAGAGCAGAAGTAATCTGTGGAAATTGGACTGCAAATGGGGACGGAACCCGAGATAGATGATTCGGGCATTCTGCGTAACAGCAGGTGCAATTGCAAACTGCCTGACAGGGGCTTCGTATACCATCTTAATTTGCACCGGATTAATTTGAATGACATGAACTACGCGCTGCGTGATGGACGAAGTTCATGATACAAAAGGCGTTTAGTGGAACGTGCGTCATTGGTTCCTTGGTCATCCTCACTCGCCGCAGTCACGACTAAGCAGGTTGCTGTGGCCTAACAACGATTCAGGGCAAGCCTTCGCTTCACCCACATTTGGTTTTACTCTCACTCAAGGCACATGAACACGGTGCATGGATTGGCCCAAATTGCGCACCACCCACAAACGCGGCGAAAGTAGAAGTGTCCAATGGAGCGCTCGTTACGACGGTGGTAGCCAGAGCAAATGACACACATGCACTTGCAACCTCTCAACGCATGCACTGGATGCAGCTAGAAGTCCAGTGGTGGTGAGTCCTATCTATTGAAGCAGACAAAGTCGACGTGATTTTACCTCCCCATTTTCAAACTGCGTTTCGCTTCTAGACACTAATTCTCGTGTGATGAATGCAACATGTAAGCGCCAGATAATCCCAATGGTCATTGCAAACACCAGACAACACGCCAGAGAGTTGAGTGCAAACAGAAGGCAATTTACTTGATAAACAACAGTTAGTCAATTAGTTCTTTTCCAACCAATTAATGAGTTTGTGCTTGAGCCATCTTCCTGCCCGTGATCTCCGAAAATTATCCCACTTCCTTCTGACCCAATTGCCAATTCGGGCGGCTTCTAGCACATTATCCGTGTCTGCAAATATTTCCATGTCCTCTATGCTATCCGATAATTCTTGCAGTAGCTTCTGCGACTCGGGATCCAGGTGAACCGTTGATCCGGATGACAAAACACTGCAAAGGAGAATGAGCGCGAGCACGCGAAGATGAAGCATCATGTAGGGGCAGATGTGGACACTAATGCGCACGAATTCTCCGACGTGGTTTATATACACGTTTGCGAAACCAACGGTCGCATGACTGGTCAGAGTAAATAGTGTGAAGATGATCGTCGTCCCTCTAGGTGTGTGTGTGTGCGTGTGTGTGGGCGGGGGGGCGTCAATGTTTATAGTAATGCACAAACGACCGTCACCAAGTGCACCCACGTGCTTAACGAACTCCGCATTGTTGAAATCGATCGTCTCATCGTACCTCAAAACCTGCACTGCGGGTTGGTTGGTGACCATGTGAGAACAGGCAAAAATGCTACGCGCATCCTCGCCCGCTGTGGCGTTGCCATCTTTGATGTCCCGTAGTTAGCATGCCTGCTCACTCCACGAATCTGAAAATCCTTTGCTGACCTCCTGCTCTTCGCCCAAGCACATCGGTGAAGGCAGCTGCATGGCCAGTCTGTATCGCCACCAATTGGATGTGCACACTGCCCCATTACTGCTCGGTATTCCTCATTCAGCTCCACCACAGAAGTGACGCGGGTGGGTGTGTGTGTGTGTGCCTGAGCAAATTGTATGCACACACGCACGCACATCCACACCACTGACACCGGATTGAGTTCGTATATTTAGTGTATGACCTCATTTGTGCACATGTGTCAGCAAATATGCTTAATATAGGAAAGAGAGAACAGCGAAGTTAATCTTGGGAACATTGTCCATTGTTTTGTTCGACCTTGAGCCTAGTAAGTTCTACACTGTTGAAAACGATCCTCACATCGTACCACAAAGCATTCCTTTCGGCTCGGCTCGTTATTATGTCGGAAAACAAAAAAGTTATGCCTCACACTGCTTCCATTATCACACAAATACTCGGGTAACGCAAATTCTCGTTGTGACATTTGTTCCTCGACACCAAGGTAGCTGATATGTCGTCATATCCGTCCTATCGTTGGTGGAAGAACTGTGACGTCTTGTTTCCGAAACGTATTGAACGGCTAAATCTTATAGCAACCTAGACCTGCTTAAAACATACATACGGCCTTGACATAATGCAGTCTTCCAACAAATCCTGGGACGCTACATTACACACGAGCGCTCAGATTTCAAAAACCCCGGCTGCGTTGTGTTTACCAACTGATACCCGGTTCTCCAATTGAAGTCCCGAAAACATCTCACCTCGTCACATTCGCCACTTTTGTGTCCTAACAAATGTTCACACATTCCGCAATTTCATGAACCGTCAGCTAGGTGATTTTGGATAAGTCTAAATTCGAAAATTCTCTCAAAGTAGACCGAAGACAACAACGGACATGTCAAACCGCCTGAAGGGCTTTCGTATTGTCACCACCTCCCACAACTGTGTCGATGCAGTGAACAGTGCGGATTTCGTCGGACACCACAAGGATGCACGCGGCCCCGAAACCCTGAAACAAAAGGTAGAGGCGATTGAGCAAGTAGCCAATGCCAGATTCACCTCTTAAATGGCGTCATTATTGCCATAATTCTATATTGACTTGCGTCTCGTGTCATGTGAGAGACATACCGCAGGCAAATTCCAAGAGACCAACTATCACCATGGCGGTCAATGCGAACATTCGGTGAACAAAGATGTTGCCATAAATGTCGCGAATCTAAGATTGCGGAAGAAGGAAACAAGATGATCTATCACGAGCAGATTTGTCCCAAGTGTTGTCGACACGCTTCTACAATACGAGCTGCAGGCACTTATAATGTTTTATTGTCAAGCAGACGCCATCCTGCCCAGACCCATAGCACCTCCTCGCGAGAACCGCAGGCACCGTATCTGGCTGTGAAACACTTGGGTCGCCAGACGCAAATGCGTGAGTTAGCAATGCTGCCCATTTATCCATCCTTGAATCATGCATCTCGAGCACCGGCTGATCGGTGATTTTGTTCTCGCCGGACCAGAAAACTTGGCCGTGTCTTGTAATGTATTACCAACACAAATCCTGTTGACGAATCGCAAAACTGCATCATTGACAAATCCTCAGTAGCACTAATTCTCCCTTTATCAGTTTTGTTAAATTATGTTGAACAGCCAACAGCAGCGAGGACAAACGATGACGTGTACTGCCGAGGTGGATATACTCCAGAATTATAATTACACGAGCCTCTGCTTCTTCACTGTTTCACGTGAGATAAGTCAGCAGACAAACACGTAGGCATTTTCCTGTCCACCTCAGCAATCAATTCACTAGGTATTTCCAAAAACCTTTGCGTTCTGGCGTCCGTTATACTTTTCACATCCTAATGCAATCGTTTTGCATGGCCTAGCACTCACAAAAACAAACGCCTTTGGGCTAGGTCGTAGCTTCTGGCGGTAAACGACGCGAGTTTATCACTGCGTTCGAGGCTTCCGTGATGACAATTCAGTTAGGCGTGAAACGACACGGATCGTGGGACTATAACAGTAGGTGTTTGTGAGCTCGTGTAGAGGCGTGAAGAATGAAAATTCAGGAAAATCGAATCGGTCTCCTATTTGCGAATTTCGTTAAGTCTGTTCTCCGCCGTATCAGAACGCGTCACACTGGTCTTTTCCGGTTGCTCTCAATTCTCGGCGACGCGAGCATGCGTCACGGTTGGGCGAGAATTTGCCTGCGCGTTCTCGCCCACTCTCTCATCAGACACCCACACGAACACGCACACGAACACGCACACCAACACCCACGCACACCCACACATTCCTTCGTGTCTCCTCACATAATCCACACGCATGTACACACACACACACACACATTAGATCGGGGTCAATCTGAGGCATTTTTCTCACGTTTTCGACTTGACACTCAACCTTAGATTTGTGGCTATATAACCAAGGCGTGTAAACAACCCAACGCATGTAGGGTTGTGTGTGACAAGTGAAACAGTAACATTGCAGACGGCTTGATTATCCCGAGATCCAACAGTTACGCTTCCGATAAGTAATAACTTAAGAATGATGTTGAACTAGCCAACTAACAATGACAAACGCTTCCTGGCCACCTCGAAGCTTTTGAAGGTAATTGGTGCGGTTTCACTGCTGCACCAACAATGCGATTTGAGTCGCATAATTTGATGCTGGGTAACAAGTGGTTGCTTTGACCAAAAGTATATTAGTGGTCTCTTGCATGAAGAGGGCCACATGTATTATGTCAAGGGGTCTCTGTTTACGGTATGTTCGTTCTATAAACACACACATGCACATGTGGGTGGAGCTTCATGATCATATAAATATGCAGTTCGTTGACGCACGGACATAGAAATCTGCATTGAACATCGCAAAGCACTTTGACTACCGCAATGTCCGTCAGGTTCGCTTCAGTGGTTGGGGCCATGCTTGTACTGCTCATCCTCCTCAACGACGCCTCTGCCATACCGACATCAAAAAACGCAGTGGAGGACATCTCAGGGAACGGCGAACACGAGGTCCTTCGACCAGCGGTTTGGCAACCCGTTGTAAGATTCGCCGTGCAGCAATATGTCAAGCACAAAGTTAAGGAGCTTGTCAAAAAAACGCCAGCCTATAAAAACGCGAAAAAGTGGCTATTGAACCAAGTCAGAAAGTGGTGATGAATTCCACATTTTTGCCTGTTTTATATTTTTATTTGACGCAACAAATACCATTGTTTCTCATTCATCTAGTGTTATTAGCGTTCTGGCAGTGGCTTCAGCAATTGAAAGATGTATTGCAAGTGGTCTCGTATCAGAAAGGCGCGGCTGTGCGTCCCTTGGGATTTCATAGGTAGGGATGTGCGAATATTGTGCAAAGGAGTGGAGCGTGAGATTGGCGTCGATGTCACTGAGTCAACCCGGGCGCTGTGATAGAAAAGACACGAAGTGCGGTTCTTCTAGATTACTAGGGGACAGCGCTCGACTATCGAAATACTGGGAAGTAAATAGAGGAGGGGGGATGTGGTGGTCGTGAGTGCGCGCAGATTTGGAGAAAGTTGGTTGAATTTGGTTGGCTCTCTGTGCGAGTGTTGAAGTACAAAGGTAATCGCCTTTCTCACACAATGCTTGAACCACAGGCCAGGCATTGTAGCCCGTGGGTTTAGCAAAAGGGAGGTGCGATTTGTAAACGCACGTGAGGGCACTGTCTGCAAGACCGAGTCTGATTCCGCCCACCAGTTCAATGTGGTTTCAAAGTAAATTGATTAAGCGATTCTGCTGCCTTCCTTGGAGCGGCTCCGACGCATGCACTCGTACAAACGCACATGAGTGCTCCACATGCGGGTATCTATGCGCATGTACAAAGGCCAGGCAACAAAGCATGCACGCATGCACGCGCGCATACATGCACCGATGCATTCAGATGCCGGAGATGTGCACGGGGTGAAGGCACACAAGCAGCTCACGAAGACCGGTGCTAGTCCTCATTAATAGTTATTAAAACTGCGCTTGGAGAAGAGATCCGAGGAATTAACTGCTTCTCCTGATGCTGCAGCATAAATTTTTCATTCAATTACCAGGTCGCCCCAGTCTCGGTGAAGGTGTACTGATTTGAACGAAACGAAACAGCCTGCTCTATCGACTTCTTCTTTTGCTAAATCTGATCTCCCATTAGCATGCATATCATTGTTTTATCGTTCGCATTGTTTTCAGTTTTGGCATTTTAAATATCAGAACTCAGTTTTAACGCAGGATCATGTTCTTTTTGCACTGTGACGTAGTCGAGTTTTTAATTGTTTACGTGACTTATAATAAGTTTTGACAACTGCATTAATCGTGAATTTGATAACTACCATGAAGAGGTATACTTGGACCAATGGACTTTGTTTTTAAAATTACTTTGTACACAAGTACTTATTTTGTGTATTTTGGGGCACTACGGAATTTGTGCTGTTCCAAATTACTAGTGCAGATTTTCTTTCCCAGTTTGAGCTACTAGTTGATGTGACACAACGCCGTTGATTTTGCTGTGCAAAATCCAAGACCATAGAAAGGCTGCTTTATAAGCTAAATCTCAGCCAGTTTTATTTGTGCGAAATCAATGGCGCAGATTCATTTGAGTAACGTGATCTACTAGGTACTAAATGCACTTACATAGGTCATGCCTTAGACGTGACAACTCTTTGTGGGTAACCTCGTTAGTTCTAACGAATTAGACCTCTTACAACTTGTATGGACTTGCAACCCTTTCAGTTCCTGAATTCCTCACTAATCACAATTGTTCATTGCACCACAATGCATCCTGACTCTGTTAAGCCCTTCAGATGCACTTCAACACTCACTAGTAATTTTACTTCCTGATGTTGCCCACGAAACCTACAGATATGCTCGAGTGACCACGATTAACAAAACGAGATGGAGACCACTACTGTCATTTAAGTCTACTTGGTCGTCAACCTCCTTATTCTTCTCCAAGAATTCAAGTTCTGTATCAGGGGCCAGCAACTAACTGGAAGTTCTGACGCGGATGTACAAATGCATGTCAGTGAATGTGACATGGCCTCTATAGGTGTTTACTACCATGTCGTTCAAAGAAACTAGAACCGAGTAAACAGTATGAAAGAAAATTAGTAATACGAGACCTGCTACGTCAATTTTTCCCATTAATACTTCTAAGTATGAACACGGGATAGACGAAGTACCTTGCTATTTACTATGCCTCACTGTTAAACTATCTTAAAAGCCCTCAAATTTACTATCTGTGGTGTCGGAGAATATTAGGAAGAGAGGTGATGATAGACACAGCCCTTTATTCACCTGTAGGAATAAATGCTTCCCATGAGTGTGTTACATTTTGCCCGTAGCCAAGGCCACACACTCAGATCACCGGTACCCCAAATCCTTCTCAGACGCTATCCCCACCTTCCCACGCTGATGTAAGACGAAGCTGGACCTCGTGCAGAGAGCTTTTAATGTCTCAGCCAAAGGCCGAGTGATCTGTCCGAATGTGACCACGTGTATAAGTCACCCACTGAAGTGGCGTGATTGGGGAAATTGTGTCAATAGTGACGGAATCCTAACCCGCGATGAGCCGTCTTTGGGAATACTGGGTCCCCAACAAAGAGATAAGTCAGAATCAGTGTACAGTAGTTCTAGTGATGTAGCAGGCCGATGTTGTAATGGATTGGGTGGGCACGAATGGAAGGTTTGGACAGTGTAGCACGGGTGTAATAGCCATTCGCCTTGCTAGCTCCCTTTAGCTTCCTCTCATTTAGAGCGCAGGCTGAATACTAGCACAGATCAAGACAAAACCGTTTTGAAGGAGTATGTTTTGAACACCAGGAATCTGGATTGCCAGATGTTTGGCTTTACTCTGTGAACTAGCCCTTCTCACAGTCTGTCTTTAGCATTTCGTGATGCGGCGTGTCATCAATACAAAAAGTGAATATCTGAGCAATTGACATCATGGCTCAGTGTCTTAATTAGTGGGCCACAGCCATATTTGACAGCACTAAGTGTTCATTTAATTCTCTGGCTTTCGTGTTTTATCAGCCAACGAGGAATGTCAGCAGTCAACCAAAGACTGGAATGCATTAGCTGCACCTCTGTAGAAGAAAACAGCGCAGCAAGTATGCAGGACTCGGGTTAATACTTGCCACTCGGTGGTTTCGGTCTGTGGCCTGGCGATCAAGCCAGTCACTCTTCCCTTGTCTCTTTTCTACCAGAGCTAGCATGTTCTATGCAGCTAACAATATTTGAGCATCAATCATCAACAAAAGCAGATAGTCTTGCATTGTGTGTGTGTGATGATATCAACCGCTGAAGTGAAAAAATGTCGTAAATTTGTTTCTAGGGGATCTATTGCCGTTCCGAGCACACATCCTAGGATTTACTTTAAAAACACTGATTTAGCGCTTCTACAATCCGACCACAGGAAAATAACTAACCATTATGAAGGTAATGGAATAACATGAGTATTTACAATTGTTGTTTCAATTGTAGATACGACTTTTTTACTTAACGTTTAAATATATTGAAGACTGCTCCTGGTAGGTAACAATCGGATACAATGCGAACCGATTTATTCATGTCGATTTGGCTTGGGCGTCTAAGCTGCTTCAATTTAGCTGTGTGCACCATCCCAGCCATCGCATATAGGTGGTGGGTCCCTAGCGTACAATCAGGTCTTCCACCATTAACGCACCTCCAGTAAGCTTATACACGTTTTTTTGTATTTGGCCAATGGATGTGCTCCGTGACCTAACATAGCATTGTCTATGAGGGGTGCAGGAGAACTGAGGCCTGGCTTGAAGAAGGCTGGTAAAAACAACCAGAGGCCAGAAAACACATAGCCAAGACAGTAAAGGCAGCGGAGGCATTATGAGAAAATTTTTCTACAAGTGGAGAAGTACGAGTGTAATTGTGCCCTGTCTACCAGGGGCTTGGGAAACTCTTCTGTCGGGGGCGGGGTGTTGGTAAATGAGCAACTGGGTGTTTTATCATCGGAATCATTGTGACAGTGAAAAGAACTAAGCCAGAAGCTGAGGCAGCTTCTCTGATGAGGGGAGGCATATTGGATCGCGCTGTGCTCAGCCAATCCTCTGTCTTTGTTCGTTTTAATGCCCTATATAGAAGGTCAGCATCCAACAAGATACAAGGGTAGGAGAAGCACTATATAGTGAGAGGATTAACCGGCATAGATGATAACGATGGACCGTGCCTGACTATTATATCAGGCTTTTGTTTGTTCAGTTAAGCGTTCTCTTTCTTCTGAACAGCCACATCGATGACAGTCCTCTGCTTCATGCTTCGGTCAGTATATTCAAACAAGGAAGAAATCTGACCTAGAACAGTATACTCATCTCTATGGGGACAATGCACGTGTTTGTATATACCCACACAAACACCCCATGCAATGCATCAACTGCAGGAATGAATAGTTCGATCAAGTCTAAAATATCTTAGACTGTAGCGCATATTTCAGGAAGGATTTCACATGAGTGTTAGTACCTTGGTAATTTACTTGGCAAAATTAAATATTTTAAGATACTATTCAGATTTGGAGAAATAGGACAGTAGTTTTCGAAAATGTACAAGTGTGCACTAGAAGAAGGTTACATCAAGACTGACATAAACCAAGAAATATTTGTTATTTTTCATGTTCCAAACCCCACGTATTGAGCTACCTTGATGGTGAAACACGATTGCAGGGAAAAAGTAGTACGGCTGAGCAGTATGATAAATGACTAACTGTAATAAGTATTTCTAACTTTAAATAATATTAATTTGATACATACATTTATGTTCGAATTTAAATCCATAGAAAGTTTGTTATCAAATAGTTCCGTTTTCATCAATTTAAGTTTTGAAAATGATGGTTCGTGATGTTTTGACCACTTGATTAGTCTTGGAGTGCAACTTGTGGATTCACAAGCGCCACCACCATCCTTGTTTGATTTTTACGGGTAACCTATTGAACTATTCAGCCTTGTCCATTACCCCTGACTACGGCTATATATATCAACGAAGTCCACATGGTTTCAGTGCGAGCACTCAGTTACTCACGTTTCCTACTATTCACAAACAGGAACTACAAACTCGTATGTACAGCAATGCCTAAACATATCCAGATTCAACTACCTCATAAATATTTAGGTGTCCGCCGACTTTGGTCTTTTATACCTCTCTAGGTACTGGTACAACAGTTAATTTTACATTTAAAAATCTCTATTTGATAGATTAATTACAATTAATAGAAGAAAACTTGTAAAATTGGTTCAGCTAGTAAACACATTTTTATTGTCAAAAACATGCCTTTTTTGACAAGTGTACATTGTTACTAAACCCAGTTTTTGTTTTAGTGTTCTATCTACATTAGCGGTGATTCAAGCTCGTTTCTTCTGTCACATAAGCGATGTCGACCGCAAGTTCCAGTGGTTTCGATCAATATATGACCATCTTCTCGCCTGAGGGCAGGCTTTTTCAAGTTGGTAAGTTATCAAGCAGACATCATATTAGACATTAGAGTACACGTTTAAAGCCATTAGCCTTGACGGCTTGACTTCTGTCGGTATTCGTGGTGAAGATTGTGCTGTTGTTGCCTGTCAATGTAAGCTGCCAGACAAACTCATTGACCGCAGTTCCGTCTCGCGCCTCTTCTCTCTAACGCCGCATACTGGATGTCTTATGACCGGTATGATGCCCGACTGTAGGTCTCAAGTGCAACGCGCTCGATACGAGGCCGCGAATTTTAAATATAAATTTGGGTTTGTTGTGTATTTTAATGTTATAAAATAGTTATGAGATGCCATGTGATGTCCTTCTTAAGAGAATTGCCGAAATCAACCAAGTTTACACCCAGTCTGCGGAAATGCGTCCTCTTGGCTGCTCGATGATGGCTATTTCTTATGACGAAGAACTTGGTTGTGCTCAGCTTTACAAAACTGACCCTAGTGGCTTCTTTGCCGGTCATCGGGCGATTGCCGTAGGTACAAAACAAATGGAAGCCAAAAACTATTTGGAAAAGAAGGTATGGTTTCCTTTGCTTTTTATTCTTTCCACTCTCACGAGTGAATTAGCAAATGCTGATGATTTTTTACACCGATTCCGCGTAGATCTTGCATGCGTGATCACTAACTTGCTTTAGACCACAGGCTTCTGATTCAATGGTACATTGAGAAAAGGGTTTGAATCGCGAGGACTTTCCCAGCCTCTTTGGTTAGTAACTTGCATCCTGAGTTTTTTGACTCAACGAAAAAAATAATAATAAGCGGGACGTTAATGAACCGTAACCTAGCGTGGAATGTTTCTTGATGCCATATGTGGCCCTATTTTCTGATTCAGGCTCCTGGTCTCCTCAATACTTTTTACATATCTTTTACTTTGTTCCCATCCCATGCGACGCCTAATCAACTTGTTCTTTAAACACTTACGATGTCCTTATGTGTATCTAGCTCAGAAAACAACAAAATTACACCCTTAATGAAGCGATCGAAGCGGCGATCAGTTGCCTATCCCACGTACTCTCCCTTGAATTCAAACCATCAGAGCTCGAAATTGGTGTCGTGTCAAAAGAGAACCCTATTTTCAGGTATGCTATTCACACTCTACGGTAAATTTGCACGACATGGTTAACCGAAATAGCTTTCGAAATTACGGGTTAATATCATTGCCAGAAGCTACAATTTGTGTAAAGTTAGTTGTGTTGTCTAGCCTCTGGCACTGAAGTATGTTTTTTTTGTAGAGCTCTGACAGTTGATGAAATTGACGCACACCTAACTCGAATGGCTGAAAAGGACTAATTTGCAGGAAGTAGCTGCTGCCAACAGCTGCTTTGTACTTGTCGCGATTCTGGCAACCTTAATCAAAAATTTATATAACCAACCTTGTTCAAGGGATGTTACAATACAGCTACTGGTGTTCTGCTAGTGTTTGCGTACAAAGTATTTTGAGCAATTAGCATGAAGTCGCGTTACCAGTTTTGATGTCAGTTAGGAGATTCACGAAACTGTGAGCAGTGTACGTAAAGTAGCTTTAAGTTCGCGAACATACCTTAAAACTGCTATCAGACGCCTGAATATCACGGATGAGAACTAGGTAACCTTCCATCTTCATCTCTTACCGTTGATAGCATCGCTTAGACGTCCCCGACATGGTGTTTTCTAAACACTTATTTACGTGGTTAATAGTTTTCAGTTACGCGAAATCAAGTTAAATTATGGGTTTTACGTGAATATTTTATTCTAATCTCAATTGGTGGGTGGGATTTCATCTGCATGATACACAAGTGAGTACAACGTATCAAAGGAGAATGAAACCACATTATCATACAGGACACGGTATGTTAATGGAACAAATCGAAAGTTGATAAACTGCAGTGGGATCCAGCTTACAGACTCAAGAGTCCACAATACGGGGCCGGTGGCGCGTAGCTTCTGGAAGCAGTCAGCGTAACAGGTCCCCTCAAAAGCGCTTTGGAAACAGTAAAATAGAAAAATATAAATTGGAGAAAAGATCACAGCGTCGTAGCCCAGCTTCTTAAAGATTATTGACACTTGGGATCCAGCAACAATTCCGTCCAGATAAATGTACCAATAATGGACAGTAGGGGCCAGGACAAGGGAGGAAGACCCGAAGGCGAAAACTCGGCGCCAGTCGATGGCTAATTCTTCTTGGTTATCTTAAAGGGGATGAAGGGCAAAGATGCTTACATGATCTTCAGCAATTTTTGACAGTTGTAGGTACAAAGTATCCCAAAAGAGTCGTTTGATTAGAAATTAGGATGCAGGTTCTAATTAAGCGAGACTACCAGGTATTACAGTGCCTTAATCAACATTAAACTATGGTTAAAAACTGTATCAAAAGAACGCAAAATTATATCGGTTTTTGCCTATGTATTCGATGAGTTTTGGGAATTGGTAAAAGGGAAGTAATCTGTTTAATTAATACACCAATATCAGTTACTATGTTGTCAGACACAGATTAGTTCTACCGACATTGAGGTGGATACGAACCAATTGGAACAACATTAAGAAAACGAAAAATTTTGGTTTAAAAAAAGGGGAAATTCAAAAGGGTGCGTAAGTTCTATATTAAAAACGTACATATATGTGACTAAATGCAATCGAACCTAACCTTTTTGCGAGAAAAGTTGCGTAGATAGGTCCGCAACAACACTCGTGCTTCCGCAAAGTAGAATGTTTGATAACAACCACTTGTGCTTTGACAGAGAAGTCGACAATCGATTCATCAAATTCAAGGAACGCAAGCGACCAAAAACGGATAGCCTCTTCATGAATACATTCGACGCCATTAATTTAGACGAAAGACCAGCAATTAGCAGGCAGATGTGCCTCTAAAATTAAAAAGTCAATTCCCACTGCTACCGAGTTTGCCGACAGAAGTCATTCATCTGTAACAACCTAATCATTTGACGGCTAGAGGTAAGCAATGATGCAGAGGTAGTACAGTATGGCATTTCCAACGTCTACTAAAAGATGCACTAATGGTGACCAGTGCTAATGGCTGTTTAAGAGAGCACATAAACTTATAACTCTGAGAGAAAAACATATAAGAGCGGTTAAATTTCGAGATTAATTACTGGTAAGTTGACAAGCAACAAAACTTTGATGCTAGGGTAACCAAGTGAGATGAAATGATATTACTTCACATGTCTCGTGTCCTTAAGAGCTCATTAATTTGGACTAGTGAAGGCAATCCACGCTTATACAGAATAGTGGCTAGAAGGCAACATTCTCGTAGCGGATAAAAATACAATTTACGTTATCTGTGGACTTCAAATTACATACGTGAAAATGGCTACGTTTAAATACAATCCCAAACAAAATTGAGTGTTAATGCAATTGTAAATGCGTCCACTGAATTCAATGTAAGTTAATTTCAAGATTCTAGCTGAAAACACGAACACTACCTCTAGGCTTTCAAAATATCAAGTCGGTCACATAAATCGCAGCCATTTGTTCCGTTGCAGTGAACAAACGTGTAGGAGCACAGACACATTGACCAATGCTGGCCTCAGCCAATCATTTGTCCGTTTGCGCTCCAATGGCATGGTAGGAAGATATGCAGATAAGCAGAGACAAACACGGAGGAGAAGCGTGAGGGGCTCGGATGGACGTCACCTTGCGTACAGATCTGGCCAATGAGAATTCGAAAAATCGTATTTTAATGTACTGGTCTTCTTCATGTTAGGGCGGCCATTGTGGTAGACACGACTGGATGGCACCAGACGCACGGTTTTGATGTGTGATTAGTCAATGCAGCGCGTTCTTTAAAACCAGCGTTATTTTCATACCACAGCTCCGTTATTTCCAAGCCCTACTAGTGTAGTGAATCACATCTTAGCGGACGTATGCCGCCATAACGTTTTCAGAAATTCCTCAGTCTCAATAATTTCGAGCAACTCATTTTAAAATTTAGGTACAATAGAAAAACCTTTTTAACTTGTTACAAGCCATATCCCACCGCAAGTCAACACGTACCAGAGTCCAAAACCCTTTCCTTACAGAGAAATATATAGCGCATCTAATCCACCACTGTCCTTCTTTGAATGCAGACATATAATATAGGGCATTAAAACGAACAAAGACAGAGGATTGGCTGAGCACAGCGCGATCCAATATGCCTCCCCTCATCAGAGAAG